TTTTTTTTTTTTTTTTTTTGGGATAACAGGTTTGAGACGCTGTCCCAATTTAGTTGTGAGGTCATCTTCATCTGAGGGAACTTCGACGGAGACAACTTTATATGGAAAAGATGAACCAGAAGCTAATGGTGGGATTACTGTGAAAGACACCCGGCCCGATAATAAGGAAGAAGATTATGATACAAACCAGCTGAATGAAGGGTCGCAAGAAGGCACTTCGGTTGACATGGAGTTGTTTAAGTTCCTTGAGAATTTCGACCTTAAGGTGTGTTCTACCCCGATTCTTTGTGTTTGCTTTGTATAGCAATCCTAAATCCATTTTGCATCTTCAGTTTATTAGATTATTACTAGAATTTGTAAAGTGTAAAGTGCCAAAAACTGAAATTGAACTGATATGGTTTGGGGGTTTTAAGTGATAAGATTTTCTGTTGTCATTTGTTTTCACCTCTTAGTAAGTCGAGGTTGGTTGCTGTGATGAGTATTTTCAGCTCTTTGAAAGCATATGAATGCTACATGAAAAGTCGACTATCGAGTCGATCTGAGCGGTTACCTGAGCAACCTTATTTCGTTTCATTATACTTTACTTTGCTTATATGTTTTTTGATGGCCCATATATTTGTTTAGTGGTTTTCATCCTCTTGATCTTTTACTTCCAAGTGTTCCTGAAGACTGACTCTGTATCTGAAGGTGCAGAGGAGTTCCCTACCTTCTTTTGAGAATAACACCATGTATGAAAATTTTATTTTGTTTTTAGATTGAATCGAAGGCTTGTCCAATATATATAGTTTTCTTGCATGTTGAGCAATCTTACTGGAAAGTGAAAACCTTACCTGTGTGAAAAATGATAGTATCTGTAAATGCACTAATGCTGATGTTATCAGTTGTGTCACTATTTAGTGGTAAGTAGAATATTGCCATTTGGTTTACATGGGTTCTCCTGGCATTCAACACTTAATCAATAAATATTCATACTGGATTATGAGATTTTAAACTTACAAATGTGTATTCATTTTCCAGTTTGACTATCAAGATACTTATTCACTACTTGTTGTCGGTGGTGGTGGTATTTTCGCACTCTGGCTAGCTGTTGCTGTTGTTGGAGCCGTTGATTCTATACCACTGGTGGGTGTTTTTTCTGTGATAACATATTTCTTTCTATGATGCAAGCAAGCAATCCCTCTTACTAAATGCAATATGGTTTCAATTTGATCAAATTTTAGTTGCCAAAAGTGTTGGAACTTATCGGTCTTGGCTACACAATCTGGTTCAGCTCGCGCTATTTGATTTTCAAGGTTGGCATCCTAAATAAGTCCCCATTCCATAATTCTGCGCGGCCCTTCGCTCAATTTGATACACTTAAATTTGTGTTAAAAGTGTAATTTTTTTTTTTTTTTGGGTTTGGCAGGAAAATAGAGATGAATTGTTTTCCAAGGCAAAACAGATAAAGCAGGAGGTGCTTGGGTCAAAGGATGGCTAGTTCTGTTGAATGCCGATCGATACTCAGTGTAGGATGAAGCTGTGGGAAAAACTAGGACTCTTGCTTAGTTGAATCTTTCAATGTACAAAATATATGTTTATGCATATGCACAACCAAGATTTGTTAAAGATTATCTTATAGTTTTCAGTGGATTATGATATTGACATATATTGCTATTACCTCATCAACTAGCATACTGACATTGTTGGTTAGCAAGTTAGAGTTGTATATTATATGATATAGTTAGTAATTTAATAGTGCAATTTTAGGGAAATGCTACGGTCCCATTACGGAACAATTCCGTCGGGTCCGTAACGGGATTGTAGCATCTCCTGCACTTTTATAGTGCTTAATAGTTGATGCAATCTAAAAAAGAAAAAGTTCCTCTAATAAATCAAAGTTACTCCTTCAAAACAGAGGAACCAACTAACTAATAGTCTAAATGAATCAGCTCGCAAGGATATATGAGAGTTTCAAATTAATACCTAACAAAATGTATTTTGTTGTCATATTCAGTTTTCCTTCCATATGGATTTCTAGTGCTAAAGCCATGTGTGCTCAATTTACTTTGATGTGTTTTCCTCCTGAGCTTGGACACAACACTATCAATGTTTAAGTTCACCTTGGGAGGAATATGAAGACAAAATGAAGCAGCCACAGCCTGCCAAAAAACAACAAAAATGGCGGTCACAAAAAATCAACAAACTGCGCGTATGTATGTAAATATTGCATATCAATGATGAAAGCTTCTTTTGATCATCATAAAAAAGAAATTGTATTTTCATTCTCATCTGAATTATATATGTAATTTTTGTTCTTTTCCTTTGCAGTAGCAATCTCAATTTTCCTATTTTTTTCCCTTTGTGTAATTGTTAATGAGCATAAAATGGTTGAATTCTCAAAACCTAAACAAAGCATATCACTAAAATCTTTCATTTTGTTGACAGAAGGCAAATTCAACATCATTATCCTTTCAAAGACTTCAAATTTACTCGAGCGTTTCCATTTTCGATTAGGAATCAGCCAATGGGAAAAAGAGTGTAAATACCTGTAGATCAAGCCGGTGTATGTTAAAAATGTCCTTCGTAGAATGCCCTTTGTATGACTCAATATAAGATTTGTACGCATCTTTAGCCGATTTGTTCAGATAATAGTTGTTTGAGACCAGCCTTTCCTGTATCGCATGCACACGGACTTCATATTTGATACCACGTTTAAAAAAAAAAAATTCTATTCAAACAAGATTTTACCAGGTAGGATTGGACGTTGGGTAACTTCTTCTGATCGAACTCATACTCTTTGAGGGGCACTTTTGCAGCCTGGAATTTTCAGTGACCCGTTAGCAAATTATTCAATGAATTAACTAAAAAAATTAGTTTCGAACAAACACAAGTACTTAAAATCATAAACCACCTTCTAAATTTGGAGAGCCGTTCAACACTTACGGCAATAAATAATACACTTTGAATAAAGAAATCATTAAGAAAACAAAATCTATTGATGGCATAAAAAAGGCAATTTTACTTCTAAAAGATTGTTACTGGTAATGGAAGAATTTCATTGCTTCTTCTTTCAGAGATGCAGGCTTAATTCGAACTAATGACATGCAAAGGCAACATGTTGTTAGCTAAACTAAATGCAGAAATTTTATTACCAATAGAATGATATAGAGAAAAAAAAAAGACCGAGTTGTTTATTGTATGGCCAATTCTACTAATTGACGTGTATTTTTCCTTGAAATCAAATAAGACAGACCTTAAGGTGAAGAAGAAACTGTAACTCTTCTGGAATCAAGAAAAGCAGAGCATTCCCTTTCGCACCCTCCCCACGTGCCGTTCGACCGACTCTATGAATATAGTCCTGATCATGATAGAAGCCATGAAAACTCAGAAAATTATGGGATATATATCAAAACAAACTGATCAAGAAAGTTTGTCAATCACCGTAGGTTTGTTGGGAGGATCATATTGCACGATCCAGTCCTACAAAAAAGTAGCGCAGATTAATGGTCTAAATATCTCTTGAGGTTTTGTATTGATTTTTAATTTGTCTTTTGAGTTTGCTTGTTCTAATTCATCCCATTCCAAATGTTTTTATATCTTTTTTTTTTTTCGTGTTATTTAGAGGTTAAAACAAATCAGCATACCACATTAGGAATATCAAGACCACGGGCAGCTACGTTTGTGCATAATAAGATGCCCTTCTCAGCTTTGCAGAAATCGAAAAAGGCCGAGGTTCGTTTTTGCTGCTTTTGCTTGCCATAGATATCGAGACAATCAATCTGAATGTATCTAAGAAGCTCCGCATGAAACTTTACTGACATGCGAGAGGAAAAGAAAACCATCACTTTCTTTGACAAGTTCCTCTTCAAGAAGGAATAGAGAAGAAGAAATCTCTGGGCACTTGGGATGACACAATAGCCTTGCTGGAGCCCATCATTCGTAACCTTACATGGTCCAATAATAGAAATTAGTGCAAATTATGGGTCCCAAACTTAATTTATCGACTATAGGAAATATGAAATTCACGGTTTACCCTCTTCCTTCCGTCATCCACATCTATGTAGATAGGACTAGTCTCAAATGATAAACGTGCAAGATCCTCAACCTGAAATCCATAAATGGATTTATTTTTTTTCCATTTAAGTTCATCAAGCAGAAAATTGTCCCAATATTTGGAGAAATATAATCCGTGTATCATATCATAATTCTTAAAAACAGCTAGAGTTTCAACCGGGAAAGGATAAGTACCTTTTTTGTTTGTGTGGCGGAGAAAAGTGCTGTTTGTCTCGCCTGGGAAATAGATTATCAGATAATAAACAAAGAGCAATTATATACGAGGCACTGAAACAGAATGGCAAGTTCAGTTAACTGATCAACCCTTAGGCCATAGCCTGGCATAAGTAAGTACCTTGGGCAAAATTTTAATGATTTGCTTCATTTCCTCCTCAAAATTGGCTTCCAAAATTCTATCAGCTTCATCAATCATGAGGCACTGCACATCCCAAGATGAACATAATATGTAGGACAAGAATCGTTCGCCCATAAAAGTAGTTTCAGCAGATAAAGAGTTGGGTACTGTGTGTAAGAATATTCAATCATGACACTATCCATGTGCTAGAGATGTGATCTTTGGCAAATAGGCACATAGGAAAATATGGATCTAACAATTATACTTCTTTAACAATGCAATTTTTCTTTTTTTTTTT